CATTACAAAACTAAAATTTTCAAAAAAAAAAACATTAAAAAAAATTTTAAAAATAAAATAAAACAACAACAACAACAGTAACAAAATTTCATAGCAACAAATTTCACACCAAATTTCACATGTATATGATATGAATATAAGAGGGATGATAGTATGTATCAAGGGTGTATGATATGAATATAGTCTTAGTTGCATGCGGTCCAGAGTAGTTTTAATTTCGAAATCGTGAAGTGTAATCCGAAACCAATCTGCGAAACACAACTTCTTAATTTTTCAATCCAGAATCAAACTATGGATTTAAAAAACCAATCCAAACATACCGAATTAGACTGGACTAGATTGATTTATGAATTTTATGGATTTCTTACCCAACTCTACTCATATTTCCTCTAGTGATGGTACCAATCCAAAAATTATACTCAATTTTTAATACATAATTCAAAAAATTTCACACATAAATCTTAAAATATACACATATCTCAACCATACACATACCTTCTGGATAATAATCTGGTATCATTTTGTGAGCGAGGTGACCCAATCACAAGTGTATACTACAATTTACTATTTTACTTTGGATGATCTCAACTCTTCGATTTGTAGTTTGCAGAGAGAGAATGAAGGTGAAAGAAAAAGGCAACGCGAGTTTGTAGAGAGAGAAGGGATTGTAGGAATAAAAAAGGTTTCGCGGCCATTTAGAGAAATGGGTTATAATCCGCTTCTCAGATTATAATCCACTTTCTCTCTCACAAAAAAATTGCTTATAAATTGCTTATAAGCATCTTTTTACCAAAAAGTTGATTATAACCATCTTCCCAAAATAGTCCAATCATCTTAGTTTGAGAGATTGTTTGAGTTTGATAGGTATATTTTGGGACCAATTTTAATAATTTGAATCATTTATTTTTTAAGATTTGTTGAATAGAATATTCATTTAAAAAATTAATATTATTGGATGTCGGTAATTATATGTTTGAATTAAATTTGTATTATAAAAAATGAACATCTATTTTTGAAATTATATTTGCCATCTATTTTTCAAAAATAAAATATGATTTAAACATATAAGTACCAATATCAAATTATCTTGATATTTTGTATAAATATTTTAGTCAACGAGTTCTAAAAAGTGAATGGTTCGGATCACCAATCGGTTCCAAAATGGGCCTACTAAGGCCAAACGCTCCCTCAAATCGAGATGACAACTTGAGAGAAGTCAAATCCAAAGAAGATAAATGTAATCCTAGTTAAATTTATGAAATTCTTAGAGCAACTGCAACCTTACTCTTTATTTTTCACTAGTTAAAATACATAAAAAGAAATTTTCTTTATTTTACCTACCCACATTTTTATCTATATACTTTAACACTACTCTTTATTCTATATATCTATTTACGCAAACTATTTAAAAAGTTTTCCAAGACTCTAAATGTAGTTAGCTTGACACTAGCTATAATAACCAACATATCATTTTTAAAAAGTCCATTGAAAATGCTCTTAAGTAGACTACCGTACTTGTTTTTCATTTTCACACAAACTTGCACTATACAAGACACAATGGCGGATTCGGGATTCAACTTTACATGACAATTATTGCAAAAAATGATTATGAAAATTTTAAATTTTAATTTATACTACCGTTACATAAAAAATGAATAATATTATTATTAATCGAACATTCTTTATCAACATAACTGAGAATAAAAATATAATCAGACATATAATTACCATTTTTTGTATAATATATAAAAATATCTATGATAAACTTGATATAAAAAAACTTTAAGTAATATATCTTTCTCAGTAAGTTTGATCAAATAACTTATTACAAAATTATCTAACATTCTCTTACGCAGTTTAGTTTTGACAATGATCATAATTGAAAATGTATGTTTTTAAGAGTAAAATGATAACTCATTTCAATAAACGGTATTAAATTTTATTAACTCAATTTTAAGAATGAGATGCTGAATGTAGACAATATTTCTATTTCCGGACAATATTCATATTTTTAGGGAATGAACAAACATTAATGAATGTAAATTAAGGTGCATAAACAAATTAAAGTATGATATGCAGAAGGACCAAAAAAAAAATGATAAATAAATAAATAAAAAAAGAACATAAATGGCATATAAACGTGAAATAAGAATAATAACAAATAGATAAGTATAAGTAAAAACAACACAGAAATATAACAGAAAACATAGATAACAAATATATTATGTCAACATTTGATAAAATTTGATTTGGAAACTATCTTTTAAATTTTGTAACGTAAATAATTTGGGGAGTGAGGTTGCTGCTATGCTGTGAGGGCTCGTGAAAATTTATCCCGGGCCTATTTTGATTATCTGAACCGTTCATATCGTTAGGTTTGTCGAGTATATCGTTCATTCAAAAAATTAAGTTAATCGGACATTTGCAACCTCATGATCATGTCTAAATTATTTTAAAAAAATTATCGAAACCATGTTAATCGTTTTTCAAAGGAATAAATGCGGTTTTGTTGTAGAGTTACATATGTCCAATTAATCTGATTTTTTTTTTTATGGATAATCTATTTGACGAATCTTGTTATATGCACGTTTTAGATCATCGAAATAGATCCAGAACAAGTTGGTTAAAAATTGATTTTTTAGTTTTTTTTTTTTTTTTGAATTTTTTTAAAAAACGTATAAAAAAATAGAGGGGTGATGTGATCCAAAAAGTTTCCAAATTAGGCCAACCTCAAAACAAGCTACTTTTGTCCAATAATTTGGAGTTGCAAATCTTTACAATTTTGATGGTACAAATTGAGTAATGGTATAGTCTCACATTTTTAGATCCATAATGATGTGATAAAAGAGTTGGGTCCTATATTATTGGGTATGTAGCAAATTAAAAATTTACACATGAAACCACATCATTGTAGGAACAATTATGTGAGCTTTTTGAGCGTCAAATATTTTCCATGCAAGCTACTAAAATTTTAAAGGTACAAATTACTCTAATTTAAATTATCTTTCTCATTACTAATATAATATGAGGGCTATTATTTACACATACATTATTTCTTTGGACCCTTCTGTTTTATTTTATTTTTATTCCAATATTATCCAAACATAAAATTTCATTTTTACCATCATTCCTAATCGTCTAATTCTAATTTTTCAAACTCTAACCCTAGCCCTATTCACCTGTGGTAGTCACCACCATTTTCGATCACTCCTCATCGCCGCAATTATTGCAACCACCACTCTCTTCGTCACAACCAACCACTACCTCCACTGACAAACACCCCCAGCCCCTACTCTATCATAGTCCATCTCCCAATCCTATGTCGCCACTGTAATCTCTCTCTGCCACCGTAACCTATCTCCATTGTAAACATAAATTTCAAAACTTCATGTTTCGGATCATTTACCATGTATATCATCAAGAAAACAAGACTAAAACAACATACCTGAATCCATCGATAAACGGTTAAACGGAAGCGTCTGATTGTCAATAAAACCTTTGATATTGACTATGTTATTGCCTTCTAATCCTTTCCCTTATGTGCCTTATGTTTCTCCTTGAGAGGATTTAGAAAACAAAACAGTATTCTTGTTTTTTTTCACTCTTGGGAAGGAATAGGGACCATAACCTTTTAAAGGTTGTAATTGGTTTTCATAACTGAAAGGTAATGAAAACCAATAAATTAACCATTATTGGTTTCATAACTGAAAGGTAATAAAAACCAATAAATTAACCATTATTAGTTTCATAACTGAAAGGTAATAAAAACTAATAAATTAACCATTATTATTATTGGTTTTAAAACTGAAAGGTAATGAAAACCAACTTTAACCAATATGTTTTAATTTCTATTTCTGCACCTCATAGAAATAAAAATTATACAATTAGTATCTACACATTAGGTCCATAACACATATATACCCTTAAGCCTATTAACTAAATTGAATCACTTAAATTGTAGGCTTCTTATAAATGATAACACCACATTTAATTATGTGGTCCCATTGAGACATTATCTAACATCCATCACCTCCACCGACAAACATCCCCAGTCCCTCTTTCACCATTGCAACCCATCTCACAACCATCTCCCGCCGCCGTAACCTATCTTTCCTTCCTTATCGCTTTTGTTCCATACTGCTACCACTGTCACCCCTCTTTTACCATACCCGACCTCCAAAAATCAAAACCCTAAGTGAGAGAAAAAGAGAGACGATTTGATTGCTGAAAGTTGTTGGAGTTGTGATTGTGTTGTCGGAAGTTGCAATCTAGTTGCTGGAGTTCACTTGGGTTGCGATTTGTAATGCCACCACTAATGATACAATCACCATTGCTATCCATGTCAGATCTCAAAGGTGAAAGGAGAAAAAGAAGTAGAAGGAACGTAGAACAGATGAAATCGTCGATGAGTAGGCTGAGGATTGGCTATAAGAGGCAATGATAGTGGTATCAAAGGTGATAGTTGGGAGTAGAGATTAGGGTTTGGATTTGGATTTAGGGTTAGGATTTGGATTAAGGTTAAAGTTATGATTAAGACTATTACGGTAGGGATTAAGAAGAAAATAAAAATTACTCATTTTGCTTAGTGAAATTTAAAAAAGTGAGAGATCTAAATAAAAAGATATAAATAAATAGCAGCCCCTAATAATATACATAAATTTTAAATTTTTTAGAGGTGGTATCCAACACCCAAAATCCATCCGTGTGAGATATCATTAATCTCAATAACCGAACACACCCTCTTACTAATAAAGTCATTTTGCACTTGACATCCTTTCAAGAAAAAATTGTACAGAGGAAAAATCCAAAAAAGCAAGAAAAACAGAGTCCACGGCACTGGTTTAGCACATGCCATCTAAAACGAGCCACGTATATCTCTACATACTAACTCATCTACATAGTCATGTTAACCTTACTACTGTGTTACTTCCTAACCCAACTACATTTCCAGTACAAGTCCCCAAGTCTCAACCCACCACAACAACAATCTACTACAATAACCCACTACATACAACCACTCTCTCTGTCTCTCTCAAAAAATTATTGGTTAATTATAATTCTAAGACTCAAGCCAATTATAAATTCTGACCAATCAATAACTTCTCCTCAATCTCTCCCTCCTATATATATATCTCCCAAAATTACACCCCTTGTAATTTCATACTCTCTCTCTCTCTCTGAAACACTCTTTGTTTCTGTCTCTAAAGCACACATTCTCTCTCTAGGTTGTAGTAGTAGACCTCCTTCCTGGAATCGATCAGCAGAAGCAGAGTCGCAGCAGAACGGTAGCTGCAGAAGACATATCCCCCTTCAGTTAGTTACATAACGGTTTTTTTTCCTCCCCATTTTGCCCTTCTATCCTGATCCAATTTCCACTCAAATGCCATTGATCTGAAACTGAAACAAAGAAAAAAATAAATAAATAAATAACCAATTTCACTTTTATCAGCCTCTGAAACCACCATGATCTCTTGGCACGACCTCTACACCGTCTTGACGGCGGTGGTTCCGCTCTACGTGGCGATGATCTTGGCCTACGGTTCCGTCCGGTGGTGGAAGATTTTCAGCCCCGACCAGTGCTCCGGCATCAACCGCTTCGTCGCCATCTTTGCCGTCCCTCTCCTCTCTTTCCACTTCATCTCCAGCAACAATCCTTATGCCATGAACTTCCGATTCATCGCCGCCGACACTCTCCAGAAGATCATAATGCTCTTTGCTCTCACCATCTGGACCAACGTCAGCCGCAACGGCAGCCTCGACTGGATGATCACAATATTCTCTCTCTCTACACTTCCAAACACTCTTGTCATGGGAATCCCTCTCTTGATCGCCATGTACGGCGATTACTCGGGGAATCTCATGGTTCAGGTCGTGGTTTTGCAGTGTATAATTTGGTACACTCTTCTTCTCTTCCTTTTCGAGTATCGTGGTGCCAAAATGCTCATAATGGAGCAGTTCCCGGAGACCGCTGCGTCGATTGTTTCGTTCAAGGTCGAGTCCGACGTGGTCTCCCTCGACGGTCACGATTTTCTCGAGACCGACGCGGAGGTCGGCTATGACGGGAAGCTCCATGTCACGGTGAGGAAATCCAACGCGTCGAGGCGGTCATTTTCGGGACTGACCCCTCGGCCGTCGAACCTCACCGGTGCCGAGATTTACAGCTTGAGCTCGTCGAGAAACCCTACGCCGAGGGGCTCGAATTTCAACCACTCCGATTTCTACTCCATGATGGGTTTTCCCGGTGGGAGGTTATCAAATTTTGGTCCGGCTGACATGTACTCAGTGCAGTCCTCGAGAGGCCCGACGCCGAGGCCGTCGAGTTTCGATGAAAACTGCACTCAGGGAGCTCAGACAATGAACTCCCCAAGATTTGGGTTTTACCCCGGACAGTCAGTGCCGACTTCTTATCCGGCACCGAATCCCGAAATTGCATCTACGGTTACTAAAACGGTGAAAAACCAACCATCACAGCCACAGACACAGACACAGACACAGATACAGCCACAACAGCAGATTATTAATCAGAGCAAATCAAACCATGATGTTAAGGAGCTCCACATGTTTGTTTGGAGTTCCAGTGCATCACCCGTGTCGGAAGGCGGTGGGCTCCACGTGTTCGGCGGTACTGACTTCCCCGCGCCTGAGCAATCTGGACGGTCCGATCATGGAGCTAAGGAAATCAGGATGTTGGTCGCAGATCACCCCCAAAATGGGGAAAACAAAGGTAAAACTATCCATGTCACAAGTCATGAGTTTTAGTATTAAAATTTAATTTCATATAGTATTTTTTACATAATAAATATTATATATATCTGTAAATTTGTGTTTTGAAAATTTTTTTTTTTTTTTTTTTTGTTTTGTGTTTGAAAGTTATTCCGAAGAGTGAGCACTTCAGCTTTTTTGGTGGTGGTGATGAGAGAGGAGGAGAGGAGGAGAGAGAAAAGGAGGGACCCACAGGACTCATCAAGTTAGGGTCCAGCTCCACCACAGAACTACACCCTAAAATGGCCGGAGTTGACGACTCTGGAAAACAAATGCCTCCGGCAAGCGTTATGACCCGTCTGATCTTGATCATGGTTTGGCGTAAACTTATACGAAACCCCAACACGTACTCAAGCCTCATTGGCCTAATTTGGTCTCTCATTGCATGCAGGTAAGCAAAAATTATAAAATTAGAAAATATAATAATAATAATAATAATAATCTTAATCTTGTTATTTATTTTTTTATCAATTATTTATATAGTTTAGATATCTTAAAATTGTAGGTGGCATGTTGCTATGCCAAAAATAATAAAGGAGTCCATTGCTATACTATCAAATGCTGGTCTTGGAATGGCTATGTTCAGCTTAGGTGGGTACTCATATTTCATGCCTAGCAATTATAATAATAATAATAATCTTAATCTTGTTATTTATTTTTTTATCAATTATTTATATAGTTTAGATATCTTAAAATTGTAGGTGGCATGTTGCTATGCCAAAAAAAATAAAGGAGTCAATTGCTATACTATCAAATGCTGGTCTTGGAATGGCTATGTTCAGTTTAGGTGAGTACTCATATTTCATGCCTAGCAATTGTGACCTTTTTTCTTTCAACAGAATTTTTTTATTACTTGATATAAACATAATAGGATTCACTTTATTAAATACATGAATCCATATTTTTGTGTCCAGAATTAAAAAAAAAAAAAACAAAAAAAACAAAAAATATATTTATGTAAAACATTTTGTTATCACATGACATTAATGTTGTGCTTAGTTGGGGAATTTGAAGAGGGATTTGAAAAGGGAAATGGAAAAGGTAGGTGAAATGTGAACAAAATATTTCTATATTTCACTTAGTTTCTCACACTTTTTCCGTTTTTCCTTTCCAAATCCCTTTCCAAATTTTCCAACCAAACACAGCGTAAAGATAAGGGGGTCCACTATAAATATACATCAGTATATTGAGAAAGAAATTGTGTTTCTTTTCAAATTAAGTAAATTGATCAGTTCAAAAAATATTTTCAGTACTTTTGGGAGTGAAGAGTAACAGAATTTGTGTTTCTTTCTAAGTTAAGCAAATTAATCAGTTCCAAAACTATTTTCAGTACTTTTGGGAGTGAAGAGTAAAAAGAATTGTGTAAGAAATATATATATCATTTTCGTCAACTAATAATTGGCAAAAAGGAGGTTGTATTTTTTATACACATTTTATGTGATTTGAGGATTCTAGTTTTCAACCATCCATTTGTTATGCATTTGTTTATGACAACTACAAGTTTATAATAATCAAATGGTATGAATGGATTGACACCGGCCGACAAGGTGGGGCCGATACAACGGTATCGCTAGCGGTCCCGAATCGGGTGATCAGAATAGATGCCCCCAAACCCAAAGTGTACGTACTATAAAAAAAAAAAAAAATTGAAAAAGGTTACGTGTCTCAAATTTTTTGTTAAATAAATGACTAAATGTCTTATATCAATGTGAAGTTTTATGGACTTCACACAGACATTTGGTCATTTATTTGTTACGAAATTTGATATCCTTAGCATTACTCTTTTTTTTTAATTAATATTACGAATTTAGACTTAATTATTCGTAAATTATTTAAAATTATCATATTGCGATTCAAATTTGTCCTATGGACACACTATATAAATTTAATCTCTAGCATATAATCACTTACTCAGAAAAATCTAGATAGATAAATCTGAATTTCCAAACTAATTGAAAAAAGTTAGTTGGGAGGGTTTTAATTTTGATTTTAATTATTTATTATTGTTAATATTATTATTTGAATTTGTCTAATTTGACTTGTTTTGTGTTGTTGAAATTGAAAGGATTGTTTATGGCTCTTCAACCTAAGATAATTGCATGCGGCAACTCAGTGGCAACATTCGCGATGGCTGTCAGGTTCCTCACCGGCCCGGCTGTGATGGCCGCAGCTTCTATCGCCGTTGGCCTTCGCGGGACCCTCCTCCACGTCGCCATTGTGCAGGTACTTATATTAATGAGTAAATAATATATGCAAATGAATATTCTAAAAATGAAATTGTAAGGTAATTTTATATAAACAGAGTTTATATATAAAAAAAAAAAATTCATACAAAATGATGTGTTTTGTTTATATTCATTAATTTTAAGTCAAAATGTTCATTATTTTAATTTATAATTTCAAAAATATTATTTGTACATTATTATTATCTTAAATTTTGTATGAAAATTATGTACGCCTATCATTTTTTATTTTTTTATTTTTTTTGTAAGCCTTTGACCTAATATCAAGGATGGCACTTGGTCTATGTCCTTTGGACAGTTGGGGTTTTATTTTCTGTAATTTTTTTTATTTTTTTCAGACCCAAAACAGTAATAATATAAATTCTTTCATAGGCCACACCAAAACTTGACTATACATTGGGTCACCTTTGATTCTGACTTATTTCAGGGTAGGTTACACTCATAAAAATAAGGCCCATAAGTAAATTTGGTTAATGCGTTCTATTTTCAAATAAAATTTTCTAAATGTCTAATATTGCTGTAATCCACCTGAAGCGATGTAAAGTGAATGTATATATCTTCCATATTTATTGTCACACTATGACTTTGTTAATTACATTATCTTATGGTATGTTTGTTGATTAATATTTTATTAAGTTATGCTGCATTCAATTTGTAGTTAATAAGCATATTAACATTATACTTTTCTTTAAGAACTTTAGTGTAACATATTAAACGGAATAATTTAGTCTTTTTACTTTTTAATATAGTTTTAATTTGATAATTCTGCTTGAGTTAAAAATTAAAATTAATGATTTTGTAACACTAGTTATTCTTTTGGGGTTTATACTTAAAAAAATAAAAATAAGATAAAAATTAATAGAAATTTTGATAGAAGGATCAAACAAAAACTGAAGTTAAAGTATAAATGCCAAATTGTTTAAATTAAAATAATAGAAATAAAAATAAAATTTAAGTACAATTTATTCAAAACAAAAAAGAAGAAAAGAAATTGATAAGCCCTAGACAAAACCTACAGATTGGTCATCTTTGATTCAAACATACATTTGTCCACATCACTTATAATAAATTTGGTCTATATATTTTTATTTTTATTTTTATTTTTTTTATGCATGGTATTACTTTAATCCATCATGATGCCATATAGAGTGACTCTATATATGCTTCTATATGTTACATATTTATTGTCATATCATCTTATTGGTATGTTTCTAGATTAACATTTTATTCAATTATGTTGCATTAAAATTGTAGTTACATTTATTTCATAAGCATGTTAATAAGTATATTTATCCTTAAAAGAACTTTAGTGTAAAGTTATTTTTAATTTTGACATTATTTTTTTTATCCAAACAGGCCGCACTTCCTCAAGGTATTGTTCCATTTGTCTTTGCCAAAGAATATAATGTTCATCCTGCAATTCTTAGCACTGCGTAAGTGAAACACTACTAAATTAATCTCCCTCAATTCATACCATTAATTTCTTCTTCTTCTTCTTTTTTTTCTTTTTTTTTGCCCTTTTCAATTAAATAAATTCAATTTCTTTGTATTGTAAAAATTTCAGGGTAATTTTTGGAATGTTGATTGCATTGCCCATTACTCTAGTTTACTACATTCTTCTCGGATTGTGAAATTGAAAACAAATGTAGTCGAGAACTTGAAGGGATTTTTCATTGTTGGACATGCATCTTGCTTGGAAGAATTGATGATCGATTAACGCAAAAGAGGTCATTTTGTGAAGAATTTATATAGCCTCTCAGATATTTGAATCAGTATATTTTTTTTAGTGAAGATCATATCATATGCGCTTAAACCTGACATGTATCAAGTTATTCAAATCCTCAAGGAAAGCAAAGATGTCAGAAAACTCATCTGAGCAAAAGGGAGGCAAGAGGGAGAAAATTAAACAAGGGAAGATCTCACTGATTCAAAATATTTGTACCTAATCTTTAGGCGTGTAAAGTTTTGTTTGATAATTCATCTTCGCTGATTATTTATAATCAAAGAAGTAATAGAGGGATTAAGGAGGCTATTCCTTATATTTTGTTCTTAGTGTTGTTTAGGTTTGTTAATTGCCACTTAATTACAAATGAGTTTGGTTTGTTCTTTGTTGTTTCCATTGACTTGTATGTAATTACTTCAAACTTCAATGATCAAAAGTGGAGATTGTATGTAACTCATAATCATCCGCACCTTACTATGAAGATAATGGAGTTGTTAAACTAAATTTGTGTGTCAACAGGTCAGTTGATTCAGTGATGAAAAAAAAAAAAAAAAAAAAATATTTGTGATGTTAAATCATATTTATTAAACTAAAACAATTTTAAATTTATATTTCAAATTCATGTTATTTTGTAAAGTTGTGTTTTGACAATAAAGTTCATAAAAAGTATACAATAAATTAAAATCGTGTAAAAAAAAAAAACTTGTCCATATTAAATAAATTTCAAACGGCATGTATCAGAGTAATAAGCTTCAAACAAAAAACACAAAATGATCTATATTTTACTTTTCATGATCAAGAATAAAGAAATAAATAAATAAATAAGAGAGAGATTTTGAAAACTCATTAACGCTCCATTATTTTTGCGAAATGCATTTTTCAATAAAAAATATTCTGTAAAAAAAAAAATTCTAGAAAATATTTTTCATAGAAAATTGATGATATATTTTGTACAAGTCAATCACAGTCTGACACGTGGTTCATAAGGGTGATTTGGAAAGTCAGTGAAGGTCTCTAGTCATCAACTGACACGTGGCAACTTGTATCAATCGCGATGGATCTATGAGACATTGGAACAGTCAAGATATGCAGGGTGACTTGGCCAAACAGTTGTTTACAATTTAAATTCAGATTCATGAGGGAAACCCAACCGCAAGAATGATGCAGTGGAAGCAAACTGTTCAAAACCATGTTCAGTGATCATGGAGATTACTTCGACAGTTATCAGGCACTTCGGGGGTTATTAGGCACTTCGACGGTTGTCATCAGAGCCAATAAATAGAGGAGAAGGCTGATAGTGAAGGGACCCAGAATCAGATCAAGAAACTAGTTTATTTACTTTACATTTTCCAGTCCTTTATCTCCAGTCTTTTACTTTCCTGCACTGCATTTCAAATTCCTAGGAGTAGTAGTTATGAGTTAGTCTTTTGTTGTAACCCTCTTCGAAGCTATAAAAGTGTGAATATACAATTGTAAACTCTTATTTACTTAATGAAATTTGATTTCTAACAGTATTTCTTCCTTTTTCTTTTACTTCTGTGATCAGTCTTCTGAATTTTCTCCTAAAATAAGCTACCAGTAAAAGTCCTCTTCATTGAGGTTAAAAAGAACTTCGAAGCAATCGTCTGATTAATTGGTTGGCATTTACTATCTTTGTAAAGACTTATTAATCCTTGTTGGCACCTTATAATTACGTTTCTAACCTTCGAAAGCCAAAAAAGCCAAAATATATTTTTGGCATGCCTAGTGGAACCTATTATATAATGACTAGATGTAGGAGACAAGGAGAAATGATCACCGCGAAAAAGGTGTAGAAAAAGATTTAGACATACATAGCCTAGAGGATAATGCAATATCATATCCCATGGATGTGCCTGCTTCAAGTGATCCTACACAAGTGGTCGAAGAGACCAACACTTTAGGATATGCAACACACGTTCAAAATGTTAGACAAGGCCATGAAACTAGACCTTCAATTGTTCCATCTACCCAACCAATGAATCCATGGGGAGGATTGACTGATGTTAAGAGACAAAAATTAATGTATACAATGGAAAGATGGACAACATCCTTTTTGGATCGAATGAGCTCTTATCAACCACCTGTCATAAGACAGATTGAAGAGAACATAAACTTACTTCAGCAGAGATTGACTTGAGATAAACAACTTATGCAAAATAATGGGCAAACTAGTGGTCAAATTAATAATCAAAACCACAAGAGACCATCACTTATGTCTCAATGATGGTACAAAGCTCCTCCTAGACCACTGATAAGTCAGAACATACCGTTGCTTACTAGTGAAAACATATACATTGGTGGGTCTAGGCTGACACAAGAAAATGACATTCGACTGTTTTCAAGTTCTGTGTTTGAACCCATGCTCGGCACACAGATGTTCACTAATCTTGTGTTCAAACTTACACTCGGGGGGTTGGAAGGAATTCTTGTAGTTGGAAGAGAAACAACACCTGTTCCTCCTCTAGTAGTTCCTTTTGTAGCACTTTTTGTGGGACAAATGTCTGCCCCAAAGGGGTAGTTGTGACAACCCTCACCTCTGATTAGCGTTAAACTGTGATTAAGCATGACAAGTAATTGATTAGAATGAAATTCAAATCGGTTTGTATGGGTGTGTTGCTTTAATTGCATTTCTATTTGTTTGTCATTTAATGATCTGTTCATGTTTTGACTTCGAATTGAAAATTGAAAGCCTTATCAGCGACCGAATCAGAAATTGATTAGTTTAATATGCTAATTAGGATTTATGTGATTTTATGGTAGGTTTAATTAAAAGCCAACTTGGAATGATTAAATTAGAATTGTTAATGTTAGTTAATTGAGCCTAGATTATTTACATTATTGCCATTTAGTGGGCCACTTTTAGAGTCATTGTTTGGGACTTGATTTATGCACTTTGATACACCATTCTTCAGCCACTTTCTAGGCCAAACCGTGAGAGAGAGGGAGAGTAGGAGAAAATTGTTTCATCTAGAGATTAACTTGGAGAATTAGGGAAATTGAAGAGGATTTGCAAAATTAAGCCAACATATTTGGAATTCAAGACCTAAGGTAGGAAATTCACCCTTTTAATTATGAATTTGAGTTGTCACGTGCATAGTTCATGGTAAATTAGTGATTTGAGTCAAGAATTAATTTAAAGTGTTGTTTTGAGAGTAATTTCTTGCATGCATGTCCATATCATAGAATTTTGAGGTTATTTTCATGAAATCCTTACATGCATGTTCATATTTTAGTTGTGGTCCTTGAATTCACCATAATTTTGAGCTCCATCTTTCATTTGATCATGTTTTGGAGCATTGGAATTCATAAGAACTCATGCATGTTATGTTCTTGCATTGTTCTTCAAGTTTCTTTGAAATTGGTGTTCAATTGGCTTACCTTTGGGCTTGATTTTACAAAATGATCTTCAAATCTTGTTGTAGTATGAGTTTCCAAGTGATTTCCAAAAAATTGGCCCAAAAGGTTGAGTTTTGATAAGTTTAATTATTGGTTTGAGCTTTGGAGGCAAATGTGGAAAACTCAGATTTTAGCTTCCTCGCTCGAGCGAAGGATTCCACGCTCGAGCGAGCACCTTTGTTTTCTAAATTCCGCTCGAGCGACGGAATGCTAGCTCGAGCATAGATTGCAAGCTCTCAAGCTTTTGTGGACGCAGAAGCACGCTCGAGCAACGAGACCTGCGCTTGAGCAAAGGATTGTGTCTCACGCTCGAGCGAGCATCGCGTGGAGAATTTCAACAACCAGTACTTTTTGCATTTTTATAGACTGCTCGAGCGAGGGAGTCTATTCTCGAGCGACCCCTCTGTTTGGGTAAGCTCGCTCGAGCGTAGAAAGCCATGCTCGATCGAGACCCCTGTTTTCAGCAAATTTTGAAAAGTGTTTTAAAGTGCATTTTTGCATCCTCATTCCATCTTAGGCATTCCTAGGCCAAGTTTAAGGCATCTTAATGAGGATAGTGTTATAGAACCACACCTAGTCAAGTTAAGGGGCTAAGTTATTAATCCCAAGTGTGTAACTTAGTGTGTGTGTGTTCGTTCTGTAACTGTGTAGGGTTGGCACCTGAGGACGCTGATTAGCCTGTCTATAGCCCCGTACTCTGTGAGTAACAATGTTGTAAAGCTACGTTCAATCATGATTATTTTCTAAACGATTAACTGTACTGTTTTCTGAAATGATATTGTTTATTGAATGGATGTTTGTCCTATTTTGTGAACTGTACTCGTGGTATCCATAGCAACTGACTGCTATTGTTACTGTTACTGAGATCTCTGTCAGTTCCAATGTTTGGAACTACTACTGTTTACTGTTTTGATGGTCATCAACTGGCTGTTCGGTTTATTAAGACCTACTGTACTGTTTTGCTATTGGACGTACCACGTATGACTGTCATGATTTCTAAATGACTGATATGGCATGAAATGTGAGCCACTAATTGAATAACTGAATTACTAATGCAAACGATTGTTTTAATTAATGAAAGGACATTCATTCTTAACCCCTTTACGCATTTGTTATTCACTGGGCTTTAGCTCACTGTTTATATTTATATGTAGGTGTCCAGGCACCGGATCGAAGCTAGGAACGTCAAGTTAAGCTCTCGTTTTGTCGAGCCAACCATTGTGCCTCATTTCGAGGTTCCGAGTTCGTTCAAGCTAAGGCTGTTTTGGGGTGTTTCAGATTCACCATTTTGTCTCTGTTTTGTATTGACTGAATGAGACTTGACTGTATAGTTATGGTGAAGGGATTTGGTCCGTAACTTGGGTGTTTGTGTATATGATGTATGTATATATGTTTTGGTTATGAATGTGGCTTGTTTATAAAAGTCTTTTTTTGTATTCAGATTTTCACAGCTCATTGGACATCTTTTTATTACTGTTTGGCTTCCGCCAGCCCCTTACCCTGTATTACGGTCACTACTGTTAAGCAGGCCTTCGGTAATCACGGATTACTGGCTGGTTGCGATGCTAAACCCATGGGGGCGGGTTTGGGTCGTGACAGAGTGGTATCAGAGCACGAGTTATACAGCACACACGTGTCCAAATGAGCTATAGGATGTCCAAGAATAGTAATTTGGGTATTGCATGAGCATGAGAAAGTGTGTGTGGCCAGAATATGAATATATGTGCTAATGTGCTTAAGTCAGCAACTTTCCATGTTTATTATTACCATATTGCCTATAGTGAAATGGAGAATGCAAGAAATGCCAATGAATCTGAATCATCTGAGGCAAGGATGGCAAGGTTAGAAAGGACGGTTGAACTGTTGACTGAGGCCCTAAGACAACAACAGAACCAACAGCCTCCATCTCCTCCAGTACAACCGGAACCGAATGTTCATGATGATGTTATTGCTTTGGCACAGAAGTTCAACAAAATGAAGCCACCATCATTCCAAGGAGGCCTTGAACCACTAAAGGCTGAAGCATGGGTTCTAGA